TGCGCCCGTCACCCTGAGACATAAGTTAACAAGTCCCATCCGCCTGTAATTTCACCAGCACCCTTAACCCTTCAAAACCGGAACACAGTAATGCTGACGTTACTGCTTGGCGGCAGAAATAGGTAAGGTGGCAGTACTTCCCTGCTACGAAGACTTTCACGAGGAGCTCTACACAAGTAATTCGACTATTGTCCACACATTTTACTATTTAGGTAAATGCCGTTTACCCTCATTGACCTTTCAACTGTCTATTTAATGGGATAATACAAATATCCTGTGCGTCACAGAAATCCGGTGAGTTTGGGTTTATGTACATGTAGGTAGACATTTTATTGTACACTCGGGCACAGTATAAGCTATAAAATCTGGAATTTAAATTGGAACTTTGAACTTTATATTAATAATATAGAGTACAATGCAATTGTACAATTATCAGAAAAATCTAAAATGTAGTCAGTAAGAATGTTTGTATAATAAAAACGATCATTCAATCAATATTTTTGTGAAATGATGATTTGTATTTTTCTGAATCTGAAGATTTTAATACATTTTAATTAGTTACGGAAACACACCACGTGACCTTCAAATTACATTTAATCATAGATTTAGGGACTTGAAAAGCTTTAATTACTTATTTAAATAATCATAACTTTTATAAAGACATATGCATCTATTTGAAATTATCAATTTATCTTATGCATGTATAATTGCAATGGTTCATTTAATATGATCACATTTTTATTGCTTTCATAACGAGTATGTGCCCGTACAGGGTGTCACATGTACATTTTCAAGCCACTATACTTCATATAATATAAGTATGTCAATGCAATAAATAAATGAATGAATGAAATTTGAATTTTATCCAAGTCGGTTAACATTCCGTTAACCGACTTCGATAAAATTCAAATTTTTCGAAGTATACCAATAAACCGGATTCCCCAATTAGCCACCCTTATGCACTGGCCACACAGAGGCCGCCGCGGAAGCGTTCCGGACGCGGGAATTTTTGTAATGTACGAGTTTATATCGCACTACTATTACAATAGTGTTGTAACTCAAAATATGTGAAATTCAAGATTATACTACTGCTGAACGCAAAAACTAAAAAAAAAACTAGATTTTCTACAGGTGAATATCATCGTCGTTAGAATATTGTAAGAAACAATTAAAAAATATTTACTTAAGTCAAAATGAACCTTTTTGTGAGCTGGTTCTGGACAAAACAGTCCTTACTCAAAAATATAGAATTATTGTTTCAATTTAATTTTTAAATATATTTGGCAAACAGGAAATTGTTTAGATGAATAAAGTTCGACATATACATAAATTTTAATGATTTTTCACCGGAAGTAAGCAATTCGTTTTTCATCGATTCTGTATATATCCATTATGGTCAAAATAAAATACTTTTTGAAAAGATATCCGATCCGAATTTCAACAAGATTACAGATTGTATATTATGTTTATTTATGGCTCACTGTACCACATCTAATGGACCATTTACACGGGGCCAATTGACGAGCCATTCCACAAAGCCAGTCTAGTGAAAAAGGCGAAATTCGCAACGTCCATCTACACTACAGCCAGTATTACAATAAGTTTCTATAGGATTCTTTACTAAAACACAAGGCCAACTAGTGGAGTGGTTCACGATACAAGTTTACACAAGGCCATAACATGAGCCATTCCAATATTTTCCATGCACGTGTGGTGGGGGCATGGTTTGGCCCGAAAAAGTAAAAATCGTTTGATAATTAAAAATTTAGTGCATTATCTTTATCACTGATCTGGAGACATTGCATAACGGATTCTCTCTATTTACACGACACCAAAAATGGCTTGGCTTAATTGAATGGCTCGTCACTTGGTCCTGTGTAAACGGTCCTTAATAAATAGTTCAAGTTTGGTTTAATGTCGGGCTAACAATTTGCTACTTGCTTACAGTTTCCTATCGAGTTACTGAAAACAAATTTGAATACAAAAACCTTGCACGTATGTTGCTAGCAAGCATGTCTCATGAGGTACATCACACCGCGTAACAAAATTCTCATTTCCTGAAATGTAACTGATTATGGGAGAACCTTGACCTGGGAAGGTCAACGCGATATCGACAGGAAGCGGGCCAACCGACTTATCAGAACGATAAGTGTGTATTTTTAAAACGGAGTGATTTTGCTGTAATATGCTAAGAGCTTATTATATATTAGAGAGTGACTTGCACACCGCTTTTCAAGGTGTCGCCATCTCTGGGGTCCCGGGTTCATCCTCGGCCGCGTCAGTGTAGAAAACCAACTTTTCTATATTGTCTCTGGTCTGGGTGTTTGTGGTACCGTAGTTGTTTCCAATCTCCATAATAAAGTGCTTTAGCTACTTACTTTGGGATTCGAGCAACGTATGCGATGTTATCTAATTATGGTGTATCATGTTGGAGAAATAATATCGCTTGTTGTGCACGAAGGTTTTTCTTTTTATGTCGCCGTGAGTAATAGACTAGACAAGTCCCATGTATCTGTCGGTCATTCTCGAACTGGTCTTCACTACATAATTTCCGTGGCAAGTTTTGTTACTTCGCGCGTTTATCGCAATTAAAATAACGCGCGTTTGACTGCTTTTGCTAGATACAACTCTAACTACGGCGAGAGAGCTAGCAGTGCGACTGCAAAAGTTGAGAGTCGACTGTGCAACAAAGTCAACTCGTACGCTCAAACGCGTCTCTGCTGACTACTTTGCCGTTTGCGTTAGAATTGCCATTTTCCTACATAAGTATTCGATTTTTTACCGTGAAATATTGTTTAAGAATTACTTGAATAATGAAATAATAAAAATTGCCACGAAAATTAGATAGTGAACACTAGTCCGAGGATGATCTGTAACTGCTTAGCCTGCTGTAACTTTAACAGCACGGTAAGGGTTACCCTTCAAAACCGGAACTTAATAACGCTTACGTTACTGCTTGTTGGTAGAAATAGGTAGAAAATGGTAGCAGTGCTTTCCTGGACGAACTTTCTCACAAGGACCATTACTGCTCCTAAATGCAATTTTGGTTTCGAATTAATAGTTTTTTAGTCATCGAATTGAAGAACTATGGTTTATCACAAGTTACAAGTTTCTTACCACGATGCGACTTTTTATTTTCTCCATATTTCGGGACAGTGAACCCGTGATCATGGAGCGTGCCTTCAAAAATGTCGCTTAGCAAACAATACCGTGCAAGTGGAAAATTTACTTTTGAATGTTACTTAAGTCAAAATGAAACGTGAACATAAATAAAAGTTATAAGGTATTACATATATAGTATTTAAAATTAACCGTATAGATACACATCCAAGAGTAGTATTACTATATTTAAATAAAGGTTTTGAAGTCCCTAACACTAAGCTTAAATGAATTTTTTTTTAAATTGCTGCACAAACAGCACTACATGGCACCACAAAACGCGTGACGTCATTTGTAGGTAAACAAAAAATTAGCAATTCCATTGAGACTGCAATGGTATTACATTGCAATAATGATAATATTTGTTATTCTACTAAAATGTAGTCGCAATGGCAGTTTAGTCGACAATAATATAAATATCTTAATTTTTATCTAGTTTAATAAAGCAATTTACTTTTCAAATTAACGTAAATTTTAATACGTTTGTAGTGAGAGCGCCGACCGAACATCTATCGATCTTCATGAAGGAAGGGTTTTGGTCGAAGGGTGTCATGTATCGGCGAATCTGCGGCCGGTTACCTGACACCAGATTGCGCACACGTGCACCAACAAGTGCAATTCGTGTAGATTAGTTAGAAATAGTATTTATTATGAATGTTAAATTCCACAAATTGCTCTAACGCAATTCTTTTTGCTACAAAAGCTCTACTTCGATCGTATTTATTATGTGACCGTGATGTAAAGATATTTAAACGTAATCTTAGGCGTAGTGAAAATAGTGTACTATTTTAACGCACAAACAAGTTGAAAAGTAATGCCCATTTACACCAGATCGACAGGCGACCTTCGTTTGCCCGCCAAAGGCGGCAAGCTACCAGTGGCCGTAGCATGGCACTATAAATGTTATAAGCCTCCCCGTGACTATAATTTTTATTTGTTTTAATTATTTCTTTTCATCTCGTTAGTCGCGCTCAATTTTTATTTTGACAAAATTACTGTATAGACCTGTCAAAATGTTTTAAAATTAGCTATGATCTTGCAGCCATACTTGGCACTGTGTTAATCTTTTGCCGTCATTAGTCGCGGCTCTCGGAATGATATAAAAATGTGACATCATAGTGCTCGCCATGTTAGCTATGGTGATAAACTTTTAAAATGCCGGTTTATCACTCGAATTTCAGAGCTAAGTGTGGATATAAAAGCTTTATGGAGGCTGCATACTACGAGGGCTGGTGTAAATACTGAGTCATCTGACAACCGTAGTTCGCAGCCCGATTCAACCGAAGCGACTATGTGTAAACGCTATGGGCAATAACGGTACGTATGTTATTCCTTAAGGTATATATTATATGAGAGTTTTATTGTATATTATGTACGTTAGTCTATAAGGTATGTATTTATGGGTCTTTGTAACCTGAATACAAATAAATAAATAAAATAAAATAAATATATATTTTTATGTCAAATAATTAGTAGACTACAGCAAGAACGTGCTACGGACTCGCCATTGAAGAGCAGAATATCAAAACATTGCAATGGCAGTTGAATAGTAGGTCGATGGCCTAGTCACTTACAAACCTTTCAGCAGAATAACAAACGTACAAAATCCTACTGTTTCGATTGATAACAACAAAAGCATTACTGCGTTTCGTTTTTGAAGGGTAATGGTGCTGGTGAAATTATAGGCACATGGGTCTTGTCAACCTATGTCTCAGAGGTACGTGCGCAGTAGCATCTTTGTAATTTAAAGGTCTAAGTGGTACTGCAACTGTTATGGACAGTCGTGTCGCTTACTACCATGATTTGTTCGTCTCATCATATAAAAAAAATAAGATACATACCACTAGCTCTCTGAAACTGCACCGCAGCTTTCTGGCATTCTGCCCTGGCCGCAACAGCGGCGGCAACAGCTTCGTGATACGGACGGGACTTGTCCACACACGTTCCTAGGCGCTTTGTCAGTGCTTGAAGACGTCGTGATGTCTCGTTCAGAAGCAGGTGAAAAGTTTTCATGGACTCCTGAAAATAGTTCGTCGATATGAATAGCAGTTCGTCCAGGGAGATACTACAATCATACCAATTTATATATTCTTTCAAAAAAATGTGTAAACATTCTGCGCAGAAATCGAGCAGCAATTGGTTGGTGGTTAAAGGTAGGCGTCCATAGATCCCCAGCGCACGCATCGGACGGATTGTTTTATACGGATTTTAGTATTCTTTGTATAGTGGTTCATACAACTGCGTCCACTGATCTGCATCGCACGGTACGCACGTACCGACCTGTCGGTAATGCCGACGCAGTTGCTCGGAGGAGCAACTTTTTCGATGCATGCTGACGAATTCATACGGATTGCGCATCAGTGGACGCACACCGCGCGCGCCGTCATTTGCTATTTTGTATTCGGCGCCCGCGTTATTGCTGATCATGGACGAAAAGTGCCGTCGGCAATCCAATAGCTAGTAGTTGCGTCGGCAATCTGATCGCTGCGGATACAGTGGATGTATTGCCACCAACGGAGCCGTTTGGTGCAGCGTGCGCTGCGGATCTGTGGACGCCTACCTTAAACCCTACCTAGCAACACTAAATAAATAAAAAATTTTAAATACTTTTTTTTCAATTTTATACATTTTACGTATAGTACAACACAGACAGCCTCTATTAAATCCCTGGTGTTTAGTATAGGTACACTCCGCTTGCCGGTCTGATGCAGCAAGCGAATAGCTATACCTATAGGTGAAGCCTGATAATCAGCAATGCCGAGTCTTCCATCTTTTATTTTTATTTGTTTTTACGACCAAACAGTAATATAAGCATCACTGCGTTCCGGTTTCGAAGGGTGCTGGTCAAACTAAAGCCACATGGGAATTGTCAACCTTATGTCTCATGTTGACGGGCGCAGTGACAGTCCCCTCGAATCTTTGCGATTTAAAACTCTGTGCGGCACTGCAATTGTTATGGGTAAACGTGCCGCTTACGACCAGGCGTACGACTTGATAGTTCCGTCGCCTTGTACTTATCATAAAAAAAAAAATTCACTGCCACTGCAGTCGTCGCACTGATAAATAAGTCCCACGTGACTGGAATTTCACCAGCAAGCACCTTTACCTTCAAAACCGGAATGCAAATGCGGTAGAAATAGGTAAGGTGGCAGTATTTTCCCGGACGAATTCTTTCACAAGGTGCTCTACAGTTACTATAAAATATTCTTTAGTTCACGTAAGGTTAAGAGTATTATATTAATTGAAAAATAGCTACATGTAGCACCATTGTTCGCATTTTAAATATTATTTAATAAAAACTATAATAATTTCTAGAATGAGTATACTTATACAATAACACATAACAAGTCAAATGCCAGCCAGATGAATTAACAATGTGGGTCGCTACAATTGACCTCATCTGCGCGGGCGACCTTCATGGTGCGCCTGCGCTACCTCAGTCACTGGTGTGTTGGTAGGTGCGCCCGCGCACCTTCACGTTTCTACTACATACTAGATCCGACCGAGTAGTGTTGAGTTTGTTCATTGCAATATGCATGACAACTAGCAATATGGAGTTAACGTTTTTTACCAATGGTCAAAGGAAGACGTTCTCAAATAGATTGTACATAGCGCAGAATGGTAGTACGTAGGCGCACTATAAGTTTCCGGAATGAATAAGAAAAAAATACTGTAAATGGTCAGAAATTAATTTATTGTTTATCAAAATATTCTCCGTTAGCGTTAGTGCACTATGTCCCACGCCAAATTTGACGCCCCTTCGTTGAATCTGGTGGTTTTTCACACCCAAATGTTTGTATAGTATTGATTGTATTTGACTCATGCCTATGCCTAGAGATGCCCGAATCTCATGGTATATCACATGCCTGTCTGTTTTGATCATACGGCACACAGCGTCGATGTTTTTATTGTTCACAGCAGTGGACGGGCGGCCATCACTAAATTCGTCACTGAGATACACACGACCGCGTTTGAATTCTGCAAACCAGTTATAAATAGTCGTCTTGCATGGTGCTTCATTGCTAAAAGCAGTTTGAAGCCGAGGGAAGCTCCGCTGAGCTGTTAAATTACACTTAAAGTCGTAGAAAATCATACTACGAAAATTTTCACGAGTTAAATCCATGGTGATGTAGACAACCAATTTCTAAAATGGCACCACAATGTAAAAACAAGTGACAGTCAGATGAAACAAACTGTATTTACAGCCAAAGAGTTCCATTTTCAAATGTTGTAATTACTTTATAAATATTGTTTATGTAAGTGGCTAGTTCCTGAAAATTATAGTGCGCCCTATGTATTATTACTTATCTTATTATACTATGGTTTTATCTTGATGTAGACTAATCGGGTTACACGTGGTACAATCTTGATTTCTGGGTTTAAACGAATTTTCATATCATTATGAACTTTAATCAATTAACGTACAGACTATAGTCCATTGCACATAGCATGGGTACGTTTGAGATTTGAAGATTCTAGAATTGCAGTGATGTAAAATTGAAAGAAAATAATCGATTGAAATATCTTATCGAGATAGTTTTTAACGATGAGAGAATCGATTTAGAGGCTATAGTTTAAGTAGAAATAATAAACAAAATAACAACAATTTCATTATTATGTCATTAACTTACTAAAAAACTACACAACAATTTTAAAAATCAATAACAACCAAACAAAAAGTCAACAAAAAAGCATAAAATCAACAGCAATGATACGAAATTTGAACAATTACTCCAAAAACATCACGCAAAGCTCAAAACAAAAGAAAGAGGCTCGCTTTCTTTTGTTTTGAGCTTTAATCAAGTCAATACGTGTGCCGATTCGGTTTATCGATTCTATGGTGTCAATTTCTATGGATAAAAGTTCCTTTTTACGCAACAAGTAGTTGCGGTAACTTATTTTTATCTTTTTATTTCAGTTTCTATCTATTTTATATACCGTGATTTTTACTAAACATTACGATTGAACAAATATTGTTTGTTTTTGGTCTATTTTAACAAATTTACAATTTCTTTTTGTAACCTGATTGTGAAATTAATCATAAATAGTACGCATGTAACGTAAAATTGGAATGAAATGTCACAGTACCCATCCCATGTGAAATGGACTTAATAGATAAGAGCTAAAAAAACAGGTCAGGCATCTTCCTTTGGATTCTCGAGTCGCCTTGGGAATTCCCGCAGCTACCGTATCTAGTTCTGCCCTCGGAACGAAAAATGGCACAACTGTCGTATAAAGTACGCATAGTTATGCCTTTTTTCGTTACAAGGGCAGAGTTAGTACCATTGGCATATAGTTCTTTATGCTATGTACAATTTCGTTACAAAACTTAATTTCTATACCTTTCTGCGGATGTGAATTGAGCCTAAGTAAGGAACAGCGTAAACGGGCGGAGAGAACGGCAGAGGACATTAAATTTATCAATGTATATTTTCTGCTATGACAATTGAAATAAGGTATCAATTTTGTTAAACCTCTTTGGTTTTTAATCTTTTAATTATAAACACCCTGGCCTATTTTACAAGTAATCTTTTGTACGATATATTTGATATTCCATCAAACTTGCACATAACAACACTTACCACACTCGCATTAAACACATCGGCATCAAACACCATTTCATTCGAGATTCACTTACACACCATGACCTACATCTCAAATTCACTCCAACGAATGATATGATCGCCGGCATTTTAACTAAACCTCTTGTAAAACTAATGGAAAGCTCGCGCATTCCGCGGAACATTTTGGCTCGTATCTAGTTTGAACGTTACACAATTGACCATAAAGTTCATTATGCTACGTGCAATACCGTTACAAAAATTCGCTTCCATTCCGTTACGCTGCAATATAAATTGAGCCCTAAGTACTGCAAATGTGTAAATTCCGTGTATGTTACCAACAAATATAACTGTGCCTTTGAGTTGTTCTTATTCAATTAATTTCAATGCTATAGAATCGATCTCCGAGAAATATTGAAAATTATACCTTATTTCAAGTGTATAAAATATACATCGATAAATGTAATGCTCTGCCTCCCCTTCCACCGGTTTGCGCTGGCCCTAAAAGACCAACAATGCATACGACGGCAAAGAAGCACAATTAACCCGGTAAAACACCTAGATAAAAGGATTCCTTTGTGGTTACACAACGCAACAATATACTATTGTCTAGCTGTATGTGGGTACGTGGAAGATGGTGATGAATGAGAGGACGTGAGTTGAGGCCTCGACGAGATTGATTATCGCATTTGGCACGGTGAAATTTTCTTTGTTTGTGTTTTCAAAACGTTGCTGTATATTTGCCGTTATTTACTGGGTCCATAGGTGTTCATAGCAATGGAAGAGTTATTATGTATATATTATTTCGGTACTTCCAATAAAGGCTACGCCAACTTGATTTTTTGGTCATTTTCTGTTATTTTTGTAAAAAGCGACATCTATTTATTAAAATTATGCTCCCCGAATTTTGTGAAAAAAAAATAAAAAAAAACAAAATTCGAAAAAAAAACCAAAAAATATATAAATAAACAAAATAAAAACAGAACAGGTCTAAAAATTAAGATGGCGTTGAGTTCATTGAAGATATCGATTTAACTGTCAAATATTGATTATCGGAAACGAAACTATTTTTTCGGATTTATATGGCGTAGGTATTTCTAGTTTATTTTAACCAGTTAAATAATGTGTTACAATCAAGAAAACTTTAGAACTCAAAATATTGATTAGTTAAGTGTTTTCTTAAGCAAGTTGTCAATATGCTATTATAGCAAAGTTTATTTATTTAGTAAGAATTTTGAAAATTTTTGTTACAGCCTGTATATGACTGCAGGCCCTATCACGTACGTCCAAAATTTATTAGCTAATCTTTCTTTGTAAATGTATATATAATTAAGCGTGTGTCTGTTATATATATATATAACAGACACACGCTTGGCCACAAATTCACCTAATTTTAAGCGATGATGTGACCGATAATGGTACAAGTTTAAAAAAAAAAGTCTGTTTCCTCTAGACTTG